TCTGTCTTGATACCAGCACGAGCATCCTTCCTCCCCGGGATGTCAGGCGTGCATTACTCAGAGGCTTCCTGTCTCACTTGCTGTAGTCATCGCAGGAATGTGCAGAACTCCTCTAAGTGACCTCCGTTTCCCAGCCCGGCGCACATGGCCACATCCTCAGCACATGCTCTGCACCCCCTGGTGTCTTGGGCTCTGGGCCACGTGGCCTGTGTAGAGCTGAATTCAGTCAAGGAGGGCTGCACTTTTGTCTGCATGTGGCCCCCACTGCCGCACACCAAGGCCCGAGTATTAGGGCGGGGTGCGGAGGGAGGGGTTCGCAGAACAGAGCACCATTTCGCAGCCTTGTAAATCGGTCAGGAGGGCGTAGCTGACCTGGCGGGAGTCCCACAGTTTACTCGGAGCATTTGTTTTAATTCAGTTTTCCAGGAGCTTTGTGTGCCTAGAACAATTTTTAAAAGAGAGTAAAAATGGGCGGGGGGTGGAATCCCATGCCAGTTTGTGAGTGAGGACAACTGGGTTCTTGGGGTGAGGCCAGAAGATAGTGTCTCCTGGGGAAGGTCCCTGCACCCTTGCTCCTGGAGGGACGCATGGGCACTGCTGCCTGCCGCGCGATGCTCCTCTCCCCGGGAGGGACGAGAGGCCTCTTGTTCCGTCCACTCCCTCCTTGCATCTTGGCTGCGCTGGTGGTGCTGGGGTTCGTCAGTGGCACGTTAGCATGCTTGGCATGGGGCGAGGTGACCCGTGGGCCACCCTTCTGCTTAGAAATCCTCCCCACTGCTCAGAGTGGAAAGTCTGAATTCCTTACCCTGGCTTCCAACGCTCTCCCTAGCTGCTCTGATTCGGAGGCTCTGGGTTTGAATCTTGCTTCTCCACCCTGGAGGTGACATGTTCTGGTATCCCCTCATTTTCGAAAGCCACACAGATTTGGACAGCAAGGGTGTTTAGTTGCAGTGGCATGTGTCTGTCCCATTGGAGCATACGGATGGGGCAGAGGCACTGGGGGGAACCCCTGAGCCCAGTGGCTGGTTACCCACCCTGGGATCACCCTGCTCTTCAGAGAGGAAGTTCTGGAAACAGTCCTCCTCTCAGGTCTCCCTGGGCAGGAACGGGGGACTTCAGGCATCTCCCCTGAAGGCACTGCAGGTTTTGCAAGCTGACCATATATCCCCAAGGCTTGGAGGAGGGAGCTGGCTGGAATGGGCCACATCGCCCTGTGCAAGGTTTGTTTTCTGCTTAGAAAAGAATTTGTAATTACTTTTTGTTTTAAAGTGCAAGTTACCAAACTGCATGCCCGCCCAGTTCGAGTCTGCTTTCTTGAGTCTGCGTGTGTGCGCGCGCGTGTGTGGGTGAATGTCGGCGGTGAAGGCCTGGGCGGTTAGAGCCCAAATGTCAGATGCTGTTATCTGTGAGCTCAGATGATAAGTAGGTCTCTGGATAGTTTTTAATCTTGGATCTGTACATGTTCTGTGGTGAACAGAGAAGAGTTAAAATTCAGGGGCCCTTTGAAAGAGGACTGTGGTTCTGCTCCTGCAGGAGCAGCTGTTTGCAGTCCCCGCTCCCCTGGGTGTGTGGGCCGGGCAGGGAGAGCAGCTTGGAAGAAGGCCCTTCGTGGTCATCTCCTCTCCCCCTATCCATCATTGGACACATGGGGAAACTGAGTCCTAGAGCAAGAAGGGGCTTGTCCATGGGCTCCCAGCTAGGCCCCGAGTCCTTGTGTAAGGGCTCCGACCTCTGAATCTAGGGTTCTTTCCTCTCTCAGTCTCTTGGCGGTGTCAATCCTGTGTATCTCCCGCGGCCCCAGCGTGCTGCGGGCCTCCGTGAATGTCAGGGGTTTGGGTTTGGGTTTTGTGTTTTTAGAGAAAACTCACATGAGATGCTTTGCTGAGTGCCTTAATGGAACTCTAACTCACAAAATTGGAAGCCGCAGGGAGAGGCTGATTCCTAGCAATCCAGAAAGGCCTGACTCCAGATGGTCAAGGTTGAATATGTCTTTGAATAATACAAATAGTAATCATTTATTGAACACCTGCTGTATGCCTCTCGTTGTGCTGGGTCTTGGAGATGGATAAAGCAGCCCCTACTGCTGGGTGTGTGAGGCTGCGGGGAGGGGTCCGGTGCAGTGTTGATAGGTGGCAACGGGGTGTCCCTTGGCTCTGGTTTTGTGAGCAAGCTATTTCTGAGCACCCCACCCCTCCCCAACCACTTAACCCTTTTGCCACTCTCTAACAACAGTTGCTGCTTTTCATTTTCTTCCTTATACTTTTCCACCCTTTTAAAAGTTCTCTGTTGCAAGCACATGTTCGCTTTATAATCAAATGGGAACAGCAATAACTGTCACAAATGCAAGGCACAAATGTAAGCACTGCAACGCTCCTGAATTTTGCTGCTGGAGAAGGCTTTAAGTGATACAGGCGTCTCCTCAGTTTCCTGCCCCTTAGTCACTGCTAACATGGCCTGCCTTTGTTGTCCTCCTTCACTGGAGGACAGCAAAACTCCAGCTTTCAACCCCGATTTTAAAGAATTACACCATCCGTTTACTAGAACCGGGGCTGCCCTGACCACCCACCCAGCCCCAGTTCCCAGAACCACTGAGTCAGCCCTGGTCTCGTAGGAAAGGACATCTGGTGGTGAAGGAGCCTCGTAGGTAATGCGGCGGCGCACTCACAGGTTTAAGTTGTTGTTGGAAGGTTTTTCTTTTTTAAAAAAATCATGACATACCCTTGTCCCAGGCGTTCTCAAATTACGGCCCGCGGGCCACATACGGGTGTTATTGCCCGTTTGTTTTTTCACTTCCAAATAAGATATGTGCAGTGTGCACAGGAATTTGTTCATAGTTTTTTTAAAACTATAGTCTGGCCCTCCAATGGTCTGCGGGACAGTGAACCGGCCCCCTGTTTAAAAAGTTTGAGGACCCCTGCCTTATCCTATATCCTCAATATATAAAAAGTCAAATACCCAAATAACAAATGACCTGAAGGTTTTACCATAAAACCTGATCTGTAAGTGGCCAGTGGGAACCATTTCTAAAGGTCGTGATCCCAAAGGTAAGTCAAAGTACCAAATGCCAAAGAAATACCAGCTGCCCAATTAGCAAACCACTGGTTTGATGGTTCTTATTAAGTTGGTTAAATAATGATGTATCTCTGAGGGATCAAAGAGTTAAATGTAGCACCAGTCTCTGAAAGAATCTGAAGAAAATGTAGGTGGATGTTGACCTTGCCCCATTTCAAAAAAAGGTTTTGCTCCTGCCGCTGAGAAGTAATCGTTGGCTGTTAATCACAGAAAGTTGCATTTTCACAGAACCAGCAGCCACAGAGAGACAGTAACGCAGACACCTGTAGGGTGGGCTGACGTAGGGGCCCTGAGTGGCCTGTGGCCTCAGGCCTGGGGCTGGGGAGACCGGCAGCCCTGATTTTTGGAGATGCTTGAAACTTGGGAGCACATTACAGCATGGTTACAGTGAGGGCTGGTGTTCTGTAGGCAGAGTCATTTTGAACAGTGACCTGTGGCTCACCCATCCTCGTCACCTGGGGTCTGCCAACCCCCACGGCATGCCCCAGGCTCACAGAGCTTTCCCAGCCTACAAAACAGCCCACCCCGTCACTCAATCCTCCACAACCCTGCAAGAAGGTGTGAAAACAGCCATCCCACTTTTTATGGGAGACAGATCCAGAAGGTCCAAGTGGTTTGCCCGCAGTCATCCACTTACCAGTACAGGTGACGGTGCTTAAAGCCAGGTGCATTTGTTCCCAGGCATATTTGTTCATTTTCTCACATGCATTTCCTTCCATCAAAGTTGGACTTTAGAGGTGCTGGTTCCTATTTTACGGCTGATGAGAGGGAAGGAGGAGTGACTTCTTCAGGGTGGCCATGGGGGCTGTGTTTATGAGAGAAAAAGAGGTGCTCTGTTTCCTGACCCTGAGGGACTCACTCCTGTCCCCAACAGTCAGAACCCTGGGAGATGATTAATGATTGTGGCAGGTTCTTGGTCATGGAGAGGTTCGGGGACCGCCAAGGTTGGAGGTGGGCTTCTTGTAGGAGGAGCCCCTGGAGGTTTAGAACCAATGGGGAGGAGCAGGGAACAGGCCCAGGTAGGACTGTCAGGCCTGTGGCGTCCTCAGGGCCGGGGCCTGGGCTTCTCAGCCTCACCCCTGCCTGTGTGAGTGCAGGGCCAGGCACAGACACGCCGACCACGTGAACAGGCTAGACCCCAATTTTTTTGGAAGGAAGCCAGCCTGGGGAGAGCAATGTCCGCTTACCTCTGGGGGGCATTAGTTAAGGCAAGATGCACCAGGAATGAGCCAGAATAGCAGCCTTTAAAGAGAATAGTAACAACAGCCCCCCATCCTGCAGCCTCTTTCTTTTCAAGAGGCACCTGATACCCTGTGAAGACCCAGAAGACACCCTGCCCTCCTTCACTCTTTCTAGCAAAGTCTCCCAGCCGTCTGTCTGTTTATTCATTGAGTCATGGATATTCATTAATCTTCTGCTCTGTGCGGCATGCAAGCCACTTGGAGAGGGCACAGAAATTTATAAATCACCGGCCTGCCCACCAAGAGCTTCTCAGCGTAGCCTGGTGGGTAAGGCCTGGCCGCGTAGTGCCAGTGGTAGCTGCTGCACAGTTGGCCACCGTCCCCTGCTCTGCACCACGGGAGGTACCTTCAGCACTTCTCCTCATGTGCCGTTGTGGCAGCCTCTATAGGTAGTGGACTTTGTTCCCTCATTTAAGAGACGAGGAAAGGAAGGCTCAGCGTTCACCGCTTGCCTAGGGAGTGACACATCTGGGAATCGAGTCCAGGTCTGAACTTTAAAGCTGTACCTGTGTCTTGTCAGTCAGCGGTGAGCGGACACTTCGCTGGGATGCTGGGAAGGCTCTGAGGAGGATGTGGCCTTGGAAGAGGGTCCCTGGGGGACGTGGGCAGGCAAAACAAGGGCAGGGTTCAGAACTCTGTGTCTGGCTGTGGGTTTGGCGACTCACCCCCACCTTCCTGTCTCCACAGAGTGCAGCAGCGGCCCCGAGCCCCGTGCTTGGCAACATTCCCCCCAACGATGGGATGCCGGGAGGCCCCATCCCTCCGGGTTTCTTTCAGGTACGTGCGGGGCCCCTGGGTCTTGTGTGCACTCGGGCCCAGGCCCTGGGCCGGTGGGAGGGACGGGGAGAGAAGTAAGTAGCGCAGTTTGCCATGGTCTAAATACAGTTGCTTCAGGCTGGTTCAAATCCTCCCTTCCCATGCCCTCTCCAGCCCGTCTCAGGTCCCTCCTCAGCCGAGAGGGGAGAAGAGAGATGGGGAAGCAGACGCGTCCCGCCCCACCCTGTGCCCTGCGCGGCTGCTGGAGCTCAGCTTCCCCCAGCAGCCTGGTGCGAAGCGCGGCGCAGTTTGCCCCTGGCCGGGAGGCCGTGAGAGCTGCTTCCAAGCCAGTGTGGAGCTTGCTTTTAACAAAAGCCTTTTTGAAAAAAATAAGTGAACTGTTCTTTGTTTCTGTTTTGTTGCTGCTGTCATTGTCATTGTTTACTTTGCCTGTCCAAACTACAAACCTTAGGCGTAATCTTAAAAAAACAAAAAAACCCACCATGCTGGCTGGTGTTGGAATCCCTTCCCTCTGGTTAACCACTTGATTTTTTCCGAGTGTGATCACAGACGGCAGCCCACAAGCATCTGTGCCCGCGCTCTGCCCACCACGGGCAGGAACAGATCCCACGTGGGTCGAGCCTGGCCTTCCCCAAAAGACACCTTGTTTGGCTTCTTTTGGTGTGTGTGTACGTGTGTGTGTATGAAGTCGGGCTTTCTGTTTTGCTGGCTTGGGTGCGGCTACCACCTCCTCTGCGCCTTCTCCTCCATCCCTACTTTCCCCTCCTGGCGCCTCACTTGATTTAAGTCCAGTCAAGACTGAGAAGTGCTGTCTTAGGTATCGCTGTGCCAGGCTGTAAGGAACTTTTATGACGAAGCTCTTGAATGTGGCATCTCTCATTCTTTCAAGCCTGTCTGCAGCTGAGTTTGAGAATCTGCCCGAGTTCCCTGTACCTTCCAAAAGGTTGTCAACTCCCAGAAAAGAATATGGAAAGAGCTGTTATGTAGAAAAGGAGGCAGAGATTTCCCCCGCGAAGCCCAAGAATTCAGAACTGGGACCCCAGTGAGACAAAGTCCAAGGATGTTTTTGCTAACAGAGGCCACATTTAGCGCCCACACATGCCCAACAGTGAGGCAGGGGTCCCTGGCACCAGAGGCATCTGAGCAAAGACGTGACGGGTAGCTCTTAGGGATGTTAACGGGTTTCCCCTGGTTGGAAGATGACCTGGAAGGTGCTTCTACTTTGCAAGATTTTGCATCTTGGTTGATGTTAACTCCTGGGAGAGGAAGGCTAGGACGCACTGCTCACCAGCAAGGGCATCGGTGAAATTTGGGCGTCCCCCCAAAACAGAAGCAGCAAGTCGCTCGCCAAGATGGTCATAGGAAGAGAGAGGGATGCAGGATGGCGGCTCAGGGCATCAGGTGGATCTGTGTGCATTCCCAACATGCTGCCCAAACTGGAGCCTTGTCCAAGGGGTGAAGATGGGTACAACCTCAGAAATTGGTGTGTGGGACTCCAGGTGGGACCAGACCAGGCGTTGCCAGGGTCTCAGCTTGGGGTCAGGCCAGAGACATTGAAGAGGGGCTGAGAGAGTGAGACCTTAAAATCCCTGGAAACCCATGTACCCAACCCAAGGAAGGCAGGAGCTGGGTGGGCTGCTGCCCTCCTCAGAGAGGGGAATCCAAGGGACTGCTGTGGGAGAACATTGTCCACACCAAGGGCAGCCATCCTCCTGGCCACCGCAGATGGTGTTCTGCACCCATCTGGTGGCCTTTCCCACTGGCATTCTGTCCTTTTGGAAATTCTTTCCCAGGCCCACACACCTGGATGCCCTTGATGCAGTGCAGGTGTGGCTTCCCTGCTGAGCAGACATGGCCCACCTGGGTGCCATGCTCCACCTGTGTGCATCCTAATTGAGGCTGCTCACTGGCATCGTGGTGTCCAGTGCAGGCCACTTGGGGGGAAAGGTAGATGACAGCCCAGTTGTATTTTTAAAGTAGGCTTTTGCCTTCTATTTTGGCCTGAGTCTAGGATAAGGCTCAGGTCTGCCTGATATGTGGGCAGCTACCAGTTGACTGCTTTGATATAATTGTCCTTGGTTAAGGCCTAATTCCAGACATACTTTCTGGGCCCTCCCCTGTGACGTTTGGGGGTGTGTGGTCAGAAAGCCCAGACCGATTCTTGTCCTTATTTAGCCACCATCAGCCACCATCAAACAGAGGTGACTTTTGGACCCTCTTGACTTGAGGTCATCTCTATTCCCCGGCTGGGGTGAACTGTCAAGAGCTGGCTGGGTCATGCAGCAGGGATCAGTGTGTCTTGGCCTCTCTGCTTCCTGGGTCTCTGTTCTCCTGCTCCTTGGCATCCTCTCCCCATCTGTCAGATGAGAGGGGGTGGGCTAGGCCAGGTACACGGCCTGGTCCTTCCTGGCCATGATGCTGAACCTCTTGAGCTGGGTCACTGCCAAGGGGAAAGGGTATCTCTCTGGGAGGAGGTAGTGGCTGCCCATTTCCGGAGGAGGCCTGCTCACAACAGGAATATTAGCTATTGATTGCCGGCCCTGCCCCTTGTTCATCTTGCAGGCGGCCACTCTGATATTAGAAGGGAAATAGAGATGGTATCGAGGGTTTTATCTGCTGCCAACGATTGTACTTCTTCCCCTGCTTGGCTGGGGCCTGGGTAGGCAGCTGTGCTGTAGGAAGACTTTGCACCAAGGAGCAGCCTGGGGTGGGGTGGCTGTGCCAGTTCTGGCCAGCCCCTGGCCTGCGGTCGCCAGCCCAGTTTTCAGGTCAGGATTTCACCCCCAGCTGGTTCTAAATTTAGAAGCCAGCATGCCTCCAGGGTGGGTGGGAGGGAGCAGCTGTCCACCCTCCACCCCTACTCCACAGAAAACAACACGGGGCCTCCCTTCTCAGGCCTCTGACTACCAGTCTTCATGGCCGCTCCTTTTGGGGGGGGGTCAGAAATTCCAGCTTTCTGTTCTCTGGTGTCCGTGTTTCCAAGGTGGTTGGTGTCTGTCTGGTCCTGTGGCATGAGATGTGTCTGGTAGCAAGTTGAAGGCAGGCAGAGAGGTGGTTTGGGAACTGGCCTGACCGCATCTCCCTGTTGAGGACTAGCGTGGGGTTCTTGGGATCTTGGTAGAGTTTAGCAAGGGTATTCTAATTCTGTGTTCCTTGTTTAAACAAAAACAGTAGCCCTAATCTTCACATTCGTGGCACCTGGCGTATACCAGGTACCCAATAAATGTTTGAGAACTGAGTTTATATGCGCCGCTTGCTTTACAGGAGAGGAGCCCAGTCAGCCCCAAAGTGCTAGATGTCTAGCATTCTGACCAGGGAGGCTCTAACACGAAGCGGCTTTGGGGATACAGGGGTGGTGTCCTGGTGTTCTGGTGTTTTGGAGCAGGGAAGGGCAGTGAGGACTTGGCCACACACTTAACCGAATGGCCTTGGGCAAGTTGCCCTCCATCTCTGGACCCCAGTTTTCTCAGCAATAGATGGAGCAGGCTGGACCAGATGGTCTCTGAGGGCCTTTCCAACTTTGATTTTCTGCTTCGGATCCAGATGGATTTTACATAATCAAGCAGTGGCGTTTTTTTTCACGCAGCTTAACTCACTTGGGCTGCACATCTGGCAAGTGCGGCTTGGCGCTGGCCAGGCCCGCTGGTCTGGGTGGGTCCCCAGTTCTTTGGCCCTAAGGTGGTCCTAAAGGGGCGCCGTCCAATAAGGGTTTCTAAGTCCAGGACTGGGGAATTACGGGAGGGCAGGGGTCACGGAGAACAGAGCATTGGGTACAGACTGTTTTTGTTCTTGTTTTGTTTTTAAATTCCAATAATTGTTTTCAGTTATGCAGTGTTTTTAAACATGCAACTTGCTTTCATTTTGGTCACAGTGTTTCTGCAAAGGAGGCATGGCCGATTGGGAAAGCGAGACTAGAAAGGTGACGGCTTGCCCAAGGTGACGAGCCAAGGGCTGTGATCAGAGTCTATGCCAGGCTCCCCGGTTCCTGATGTAGTGTTCCTCACACAGTCAGAAGTCCAGATGTGGATAGATACATGTCTGGTTGTGTAGAGGGAGTAGAGAGAGAATAGAGACAAGAGAAAAGGAGGGATAGAATGGAGGGAAATAGAGAAACCCTAACTGTGTTCTCTTAAAAATAGCAAATAAGTTTCCATTCAGATGCCAGCTCTGACTGATTAGTGGTGGCTGCTCAGAACACTGTATTGAGAATGATTCTGAAGCTATGTCCGGGCTCAACAGATACTGATTGGCCATGTCTACCAGGCACACGGGCATGTGTCAGTGGTAGTACATATCCTAGTTATGTGCCAACTCCGATCTAGTCCAGACTTCTCATTTATGGATGTGGAAGTGGAATCCCAGAAGGAGAAGGGACTGTGTTAGTGACAGTCATCGGCATGTCTGACATGCAAGGGACAGGGCTTGGCCCTAGGCCAGAACCGAACCTCTCATAGTGTGCCCACAGGAGCAGCCAGCCTGCCAAAGACTGGCACGTACACCCATTCCCAGCCCCTGTAGTAGGACAGAGAAGAGGCCCGCCTGCCAAGATGAGAGATGGGGAAGGGGTTCCTGGAGGCAGTGCAGCCCTGGCTGAGCTGGTGTCTAGAATGAGGTGGCTGACAGGTGCTCAGTGGCAGGTGAGGTTGGTGAGTATGGGCTTCATCCAGTGGCTAGTGGGAAACCAGTGGGGCACCCTGGGCTGGACAGTGCCTTGGCCAGATGTGTGTTCCTGGACAGACTCTGATGGCTCCAGTGGCTCTGTGGGGGCAGGGACTGGGGTGCTCCAGCTGGTGTTCAGGGCGTAGCAGACCACATTACAGAGACCCAGCAGAGGTCACAGGGTTAAAGACTGTGCCTTCTCTGGAAAGACAGTCCTAGGGGAGGGGTCCCAACTCCGTTGGCTGAAAATTTAGCCAGTCCTGCTCTGAATACCCTGGGTACTTTCCAACATGGTCCAGGACAGCAGGGAGTCACTGATACATCCCCTCATTCCAGGGAGC